GCAAGCAATGAGCCATTAGGCAGGATATTAATCCATATTCTCCAGTGAGGGTGTGATCAATACACCCAAACACAGATTGCCCTCGCTATCATGGAAATATTACACATCCATTACAGATGCAACCCCGTAATACATCAATATTTCGGTAAGTTCAATACGGTGTATAACAATAGTAAAATGATCTTTCTTGCTGAAGAGTCATGGGTCCTCTTCCAAGTCTGTTAAATGATGAGAGGACCTGTTTTTGATGTACTCAATGTACTCATACACTGTCGGTCTCATGTTGTTAGCAGACCTCTCTGCTCTCTCTCTCCTATTACTGCAGGAGTCTTAATTAAAGATTAATGGCAGGGTTTTCCCTGCATGTAGAGTGTAGATAGCTCATTTCCCAAGGCTCTTCTTTAAAAGCACCGCACTATTGGGAGTGCTAAAAACGGGAGAGAATGCGGTGCTGCGGAGAACAAAGGCACTCTGGCCTATCCCCTCTCCCCATTTCAGGCCATGTAATAACCGAGTGAGGCTAGGAAAATAGAGGTGGGACGTTGCTGGTACTCATTTCAATTTTGGCAACCAAAGAGATCCAATCAGCTCATTTAAAAGCCTGTGTAGTGGCTATACCTTTCTTTCCTCCCGTGTGACAATTACTGCCGCCGTCTCCATCAGACTCTTTAATGGCTCAGCTTGAAGCCTGTCGAAGACCATCAGGCTCTAGTGGGAACTTTAAAAAGAGCCAGCAGAAGAAAGGAACAAATTGGATAAGTTTGCTTTTGTTGTTGTTGTTGTTGTTTCTTTGCTATTGGGGTAATGCCAAAGGGATGTTTGTAATATTTATTTGTAGAATGTTCTAGCATACAAAACACATAATTCAGACCTTCAAGACCTGTTCTTGTTGTTGCCAAGAGCTGCCTACTTAGTTTAAAGAGACTATCTGACCTTAAAAAAAGTTGAATGTTGACCAATCAGAATTCATTTACTTTCAAAAGTAATGGATGGATATTCTTTTATAGACATTTAACAAAAAATAAGCAGATTGTGCAAATACTGTATGCTATTAAAAATACACTGTAAAAATTAATATGCTTTATCTAATCAAAACGTATTTTAAATGGTTAACTTTTAAGGAATAATTTGATTAATTATTACTCAATTCTAATTTGTTAAATTTAATTAATAATATTGCTTGTAATCTGTTGCCACAATTCTATTGATTAGATAAAGCATATTCATGTTTACAGTGTACACTTCATTGTGATGTGGTTCCATGAAGAACCTTTAACATCCATGGAATCTTTCCATTGCACAAAAGGTTATTTATGTTGGGAAAAGGTTCTTCATATTATTAAAAAGTTTTTCAAACTAACAATAAATTGTTCTTTTCAGCCCAAAATGGTTTTTCTAGGGCATTGATAAAAAAAAAAAATAGAAAAAAAACGTAACATTTATTTTTATGAGTGTATGCAAAAACCCATGCAAAACTCTGATTATATTTGAAATGTTTGATGGAACACTGTGTCCTGTGGTTTGTTAGGCCACCAGACCATTCATTTTGAAGTAATAAGTGTAGCTTGTTTTCTTGAGAACTCTTGATGAGGACCTGTTTTTGCTTTGGAGGAGGTCATTTCAATTTGGTTCATTTCAAGAAGACAGTAAGTTCGATTAGTTCAGTCTCTCCTGTTAGAGGCTGTCACTTCTGAGCTTGGTAATGCTGCCCATATGCAGACCCTAATTATTTACTCTGCAGGCAGAGAACAAGGTCATGCTTGTTATACCATCATCCAATTCACACAATCAGATTCAAAGAGAACTAATCTCGTTCTTTCACAAGCAATTATCTTGATGTAACCGGCTGGTAGGAGATGCTCCGCCCAGCCCAGATGAAGGCAATGACTTTCATTTTGCATCAGGCCCAGGATGCAGCAGAGATCCGTGGCTAAGTTAAACTGTCAATCTGTGCTTCTATTGGAACATTTGAGCTAAATTAAAGAGAGCTCCAGCACTGGATTGTGGCCAAAACAATTAAGGAGCACTAGTATGGACGCAACAGATGATGCTTAGGAGGACTGAATTTCCCCAGTGTCCATTCACAATCCATGACCTTTTTTAAAGAATTGTGACTTTTTTTTTTTGCATGACTAAAGACAGTTTACTGAAATATATGTATGTATGTATGTATGTTTGTTCATATATATATATATATATATATATATATATATATATAGTTACAGTATTATAAGATTGAATATATATGATGGATAGATAGACAGTAGCCTCTTTGGTCAAACACATTGCAGCATGCCAGCAACCATCAAATAAGCAGTGTTCTGTAAATACAGAGATATGGCTGTCTTCCTGTCTGTATTGTGTGGGACCTTGTCGAAGGACATGGCTGTTTCTTCAGCAGCAGGCAATAAAGTGAGTGACAAACAAGACAAGGAGCCATATGCGATCAATGCCTGCAGAAATGGTTAAAAAAAGAGACAGAGAGAGAGAGAGAGAGAGAGAGAGAGAGAGAGAGAGAGAGAGAGAGAGAGAGAGAGAGGCACTCTCTAAACAGGATTGCACACATGTGTAACAATAAAAAACATACCAAGTCATACAAAGACAGTGATACATGAGATGTCCACATCTGAAAATATTGATGAAAAAAAATCTTTGACCTTTATCACATTTAGATTATTTAGGTTGAAAGAACCAACTTTATTTACTTTCTACAGAATGAAAAAAATATTTATCCTCTCTATATAAATGACATCTTCCTCTGATTGCTTTAATGCTTATAAGATTAACATAACCGAAAGATTTATTTTGGCACTACTGAATCATAGAATTTATAGTAATGATTCTTAGTCTCTTCATCTTTATTTGACATGTTTCTTTTTATATAATTTCCCAATGAACTACACACAATTGCACTCTTATATAAAATAAAAAATAGCATCTATATGTTGTTTGATATTTGAAATGAAAAATAATATGCATCACTTGTAAGGTATCTTAACTTGCTGCCTTTTCAGGGCTTGTTTTGCATTAGACTGTACTGCCATCTACTGGTGAACAGTCTCTGATTATTTACTGGATAAAAATACAAACACCTTGTACACAACCATTTGTGCTTTTGTTTATATTTGTCATTTTTGTTTATATATATATATACTAAATAACTATACAGGGACTATACATATAGGCTACAGTGACTATACATAAGCTATATACACTCACCGGCCACTTTATTAGGTACCCCATGCTAGTAACGGGTTGGACCCCCTTTTGCCTTCAGAACTGCCTTAATTCTTCGTGGCATAGATTCAACAAGGTGCTGGAAGCATTCCTCAGGGAGTTTGGTCCATATTGACATGATGGCATCACACAGTTGCCGCAGATTTGTCGGCTGCACATCCATGATGCGAATCTCCCGTTCCACCACATCCCAAAGATGCTCTTGGATTGAGATCTGGTGACTGTGGAGGCCATTTGAGTACAGCGAACTCATTGTCATGTTCAAGAAACCAGTCTGAGATGATTCCAGCTTTATGACATGGCGCATTATCCTGCTGAAAGTAGCCATCAGAAGTTGGGTACATTGTGGTCATAAAGGGATGGACATGGTCAGCGACAATACTCAGGTAGGCTGTGGCGTTGCAACGATACTCAATTGGTACCAAGGGGCCCAAAGAGTGCCAAGAAAATATTCCCCACACCATGACACCACCACCACCAGCCTGAACCGTTGATACAAGGCAGGATGGATCCATGCTTTCATGTTGTAGACGCCAAATTCTGACCCTACCATCCGAATGTCGCAGCAGAAATCGAGACTCATCAGACCAGGCAACGTTTTTCCAATCTTCTATTGTCCAAAAGCTTGTGCAAATTGTAGCCTCAGTTTCCTGTTCTTAGCTGAAAGGAGTGGCACCCGGTGTGGTCTTCTGCTGCTGTAGCCCATCTGCCTCAAAGTTCGACGTACTGTGCGTTCAGAGATGCTCTTCTGCCCACCTTGGTTGTAACGGGTGGTTATTTGAGTCACTGTTGCCCTTCTATCAGCTCGAACCAGTCTGGCCATTCTCCTCTGACCTCTGGCATCAACAAGTCACTCAAATCACCTTTCTTCCCCATACTGATGCTCGGTTTGAACTGCAGGAGATTGTCTTGACCATGTCTACATGCCTAAATGCACTGAGTTGCCGCCATGTGATTGGCTGCTTAGAAATTAAGTGTTAACGAGCAGTTGGACAGGTGTACCTAATAAAGTGGCCGGTGAGTGTATATTCATAGTATCAGGAATATTACCACTGCAGCCTACTGTGTCAAAAGGCCACAGAGAAATACATTTGAGTTGTTCAGCACATTTTGAAGCCAATTACTTAGCTGCGTTAATATTTTTAATTAGCACTGGCCAATTAGAGAAGTGAAAACCAACAAGCTCTCTCTTTTCCATTTCATCAATGAAAGTGATGTGTATATAGCTCTGGGTTTGACAAATCATCTAGCATTCATCAGAGATGCTGTTTTATTACTCATCAAATAAGTCAAATATCCTTAATGGAGTTTAATGGAATATATTTCCCAGTTATTTACTTAATTGCTTTGGCATTCCAGCTAGAGTTCACAGGAGTGTTTTATATGCCATTTACAGACCACATTTTAGACAGATTTGGTATTCTTTGAAGGGCAGACTTATCAAAACGTAGCTATCGTCTTAGGGAATTGCAAATGATGTTTTATTGGTCAGCTGATCGTCATATCAATCAATCCTAATACAAATGTAGATGCCACATAATTTCCTTAAACTGAAAGTCCAAGGTCAATTAATAGCTTAATTTTGTTCCCATTCCGCTTGTTACAGTTTTGAAAATCCAACGTAACATTTAAAAGTCTTGTGATCCATTCTTTTTTATATATATTATTCCTCAGGTACCAAATCTGGAATAAAACGTTCCAGCTATATATTATATTTACTGTGTATACACTAAGTTACACATTTTAGTATTTCAGTCTCAAAATCCTTCATAAATGTTCTTTATTTCCGTGAAATAATAATTGATGTATCATAAATAGTTTTAATAAGTATGATTTAATTACATTGGAAAAAAAATACATTTAATAAATAAATAAATATAATAAACTCTTGAATAGACTGCCGTTTTATTTACATCATCCATCCCATAATGAAGAAGAAGGGACTGACTTCTGAATCATATAAGTAAATAAAGGTTTAGCTAAAACAGAACATACAATTACTACATATAATACTATGACAGTGAAAACAGACACATATTCACAGAATGTAAAAATGTCTTTCCATCTATGGGTCTTGAGCATCAGTAATACACACTTCTCTTCAGAATGTACGGCCGTCTTGATTTATTGGTGCGCAGTTGCCTTTTTAGTATATAGGGAGATTTCCTCTTCAGTGGACTGTCGCTGTTTTTGTCCAGCTCCAGATATTCTTGGTCTTCTTGAAGCTGAAATGAAAGACGGTGCCCCTCAGATTATTACAGGACTGAAAATCACAGCAATTGGGTGGACAATGCTGTCAATCAACCGCCACGTCATGACTGTGTCGCCTGGATATTCATTTCTCCTCAGAGCTCCACTGAAGTGTGCTTGAATAAGATGTGTATCTGATGGAGTCTCAGAGGTGCACTTTAAAAGCATGTGTAATTGTGCAATCTTTAACGGCACATGAATTGACCCACAAACGAGAGATGTACCGTAATATAAGCAAATTGCTTTTAAGCAAAGCAATTCACTCTAGATTTGTTAAGAAAATGGTTTGCAATTGGTGCTGTAGTGCTATAAAATAAAAACCACCAGCTAATGACAGGAATTCAAATGTTTATAAACCATTTAGCCCATTTATCTGTTGTAATCAATTTGCCAGCATAAGCTATTTCGATAACGCTTTACAATAAGGTTTCATTTGTTAACATTACTTAGTGAACTATAAGTTAACATGAACTAAGTGTTTAACATCTAATACGGTTTTAAAATCTAAAGTTGTGTTTGTTAACATTTGCTAATGCACTGTGAACATGAGCAATCAATGATTAGCTTTTTACTAATGTCAACTAATAAATACTTTAATTATATACATTGCTCATGCTAAAGATAATGCATTAACAAATGAGATATTATTGTAAAGAGATTGAAATATTTATTCTTTTCATGCTGCTTTTTTTTTTTTTACGTAAATCTGTATGAGTGTTTATATTTCAAATATAGATAATGATTCCTTGTTATGAATTGTTGAGTAGCTGAAGAAGAAATCTGCATTTACAAGAGAGCATGCTCAAAGTCAATTGTTTACTGTCTCCATGCCTGTGTCCAGGGGCGTGGTAGTGGGGGGAAAAGTGGACCTGACTACCCAGGGCCCCGTCTAGGGAGAGGGCCCTTTGAAATCCCACCAATTTAAAAAAAAAAAAAATTTTTAAAACCTAATTAGAATTAATTGGGCCCTCCAATTGATGTCATTAATAATAATTAAAAAAAAATATTGACCAAAATGAACTCAGTGCCAGACACTCTGGACCCCCTTCCAAATGGTTTAGTCCGCAACGCGTCGACCGCCCATAGACGCAGCGGGCGGCAAACAAGTAATAACGCAGTGAGTCTAGAGCCTGTAACGGGAGCCTGATCTGATCATGCTGTGCAAAAAGCCCAAATCGGGCTTTAAAAAAAAGAGAGGAAAGAAAAAGATAGGAGGCAGAATGCGGGGAAGCAGCTGATGACTGCTTTCTTCCCAAAAGGTGAACCGAGTTTGCTATATGCACCTAACGTTACATCCAATTAAAGTTAACGTAACTTAGTCAACTCCAGACAGCTGCTGCTAATGCAGGGTTCCAGACTGCGACCAAATTGGTCTCATATGCGACCATTTTTTTGAGAATTTGATTGTGCGAGTTAAAATTGTATGTGATGTGGTCGCGTCGCATACGAGTGGACGCTCGCGCAAAAGAACACCGACCGTTGTATCAGCTGCTGCAGACTGCAGTCCGTAACTTATGTTCAAAACGAACGAGTAGGCTACATCATGACATGAATCCATTTTCCAAACCGTGTTTTTGACTTATCCTGAATCACTACGCCTGTTATAAGTGTTTATATTCGGACTATTTTTTTATCCCAGATTCCCGGGGTTGACTCGGATGCGAAGTTGCCCAGTGACTGCGTGACTCGCCATAGACATTAATGGAGAGAAGTAGCTCCGGCAACAGTGTTCTTCCGCAAGACACATAGACGTCACGCGCGCATTGCACACTGATGGTGGAACACGCCAATTACGAATTCATGAATAAAAATATAAAAATGAAAATGTCTCAGGAAACAAATTATTACAAAATGCAGGAGGTAAGGAGTGTGAGATTTCTGATTTTTGAACTAACTTATAAAATTTGATAACGAAAAATCTGTTTTAGCTTGTTGTAATACTCTAATCTTTTAAAATGTAATGTACATTTGAATGTTTAATGATTTTTAAAAGATAGAAATATGATGCTAATAGAAAAATGACAGACACAGAAGATTATGATTCAAATGTAAATAGATAGATTGAATGTAATTCAAATGTAAAATTCTTAAAATTACAGATTAAAATTACTGTCCAAAATCCATGAAAATCCTGAAATTTGGCAATGATAATTAATATATTACAGGTATTTATGGTAAGCCTTTGCTGGCTTTGGTCCATTAAAACCACTATTCATCGGCATGCATTGATTAATCCCATGGCATGTAGCAAAAAAAATAAAAAATAACCGCGACGAAATCAAATGCTGGTGCGACCAACTGAGAAAGTTGGTAGCATCAGTTTAACCTGGTTTCTGAGGGTACAGTTGTCTCTCGTGTTCTTGTGTTCTCCTATTTAAAAATAAATGTTTTTCATTTAAAACTTGCATCAGTATCATGGATCAAAATGTTAGTACACAAAACCGATGTAGCCTAAGGTTTAAAGGTATTTGAGCACAAGTAGGCCAAATGCATCAATTCAGGTGGTGAATGAAAGAACCAGTCATTACTATAATCTGATTTTATTATTTAAACACTGTTTATATTTGTTTATATTCAAATAATTAAAAAAATACATTTCATTCAAAATTGAATTTTCACTTTGCTAACCCGCATCGTACAATGCCATGTGTAGGGGGCCCATTGACATTGAGAGTGTACAGGGCCCAGAATTTGGTGCTACGCCCCTGCCTGTGTCGATTCTCACCTCTCTAGGCTGCAGGACCCTACAGAAGTTCTGGAGGTTATGCATTTCCTTAAGCATTTGTGCGAGGGTACCCGAAACCCTCTGTTCATAGTCAGCCCGAACCTCGGTGTCCTCCTGCTCCTCCTCGCTGCCCCAGGACTCCCCGAGACTGTTCACCAACCTACACACATCCTGTAGAGGCAGCTGCCACAAGGGGGCGATGTGCTTGCCCTGCTTTACCTGCACGCACCGCCGACGAGAGAGCAAAAATGTTTACAATAACTCAATCTCAGTTTCAGCTATAATTCACCTTATATAAAAGTCATGCTGTCTTCAGCCTTTGCTATTTTCTCAGTCCACTTACAGGGTGCCAATAATGGATAAGCACATTTTGAGTTTTCTCTAGCCACTGTATTGGGCTTCACAGGATGAATCTAACTAGATCAAGGCCTGCTGGGATATCTGGAAATCTCTTTTCAACCTGTTGACTGTAAGTTTGGGTAAAACTCATATTACACTGTTCTTAAATAACACAATCCCCCTCCAGTTCATGGATCTGATATTAAAAACAAGAGTTCATATTCTCAGTGATTATAACAAATTGAAAGATTTTTCCTTTTTAAAATAACAAGGGAAATAGCACCTCCATAAGACCCGCAGGCTGTCGATCTGCCATTAAAGTAACTCTATTTCACTACAATTAATTAGACTTGGCCAGCTGACATTTTTAAAGTATCAGCATTAAAAGACATAATATTTAATGTCTCTATTTGAAGTCATAATTAACTCTGCAGAAGAGAACATTTATATACTGGTAGATTGATAGAAATTGTGGTCAGAGAAAGAGTTAAAAAGAAAATCTGTAGAAAATGACAAACACCATGATGCTATGATATTCTCTATTGATGGATAATAATCAGATGTGCTGATGATAGATAATGGACGTTGATGCATTACAGAATATTGCTCATTGAATGAAGGCAGCTGAGCATTATTTTGGGCAATGGCACATCATTTGGTCCACCAATAGAGCGTAAAGCCTTCATCCATTTTGCTTTTTGAGTACACTGCTTCTGAATTTCTGCCTGAATCAAGATTATTTTTAAATGTGTAATTTCATGTTACATTTAACATCACTTAGCATCTACATTTATGGAACGCTGTACAGCATGGCATTCATCAAGACAATAACCTTTTTGTAAATCATTAAGTGACAGGAGCACAAACATATATTTACTATAAATGCCACGTGCTATTCTCTGAAAGGGCTTCTTCAGATGCCTTTGTAAAAAGATTTATTGGTAAAGAGTTGTTTAAACTTTGAAAAAAATGCATAAATACATATTTATCACACAATCTAGAATTTTTTTTTTCTATTTTTCTACTGGTACCATGCTGTTTTCAAAGTACCTGAAAGCTTTAAAATAACCATGACTTTCATTTAAAATTCAGCTACCCTACAGTCAAAGGGCATATCTTTAAGGCCCCATATAAGCCCAGTGTTGCCTCTGTTGGCTCAGGGTCAACAGGTGTTTTAAAAGCAATACTGTACCTTTGAAGAGAGGAGACTTCTCAGTACATCTTCCTCTAGTGCCCTTTTTCCCTGGTCTATATCTGAAGAGGGAGAAAACACACAACATTGTCATGTTTTAAACGTAGCACTGAGAATTTACACATCAAAGTACAAATAAATTCTGCGCATTTCTTGTCTGCAGTAGTAAGTGTGTTTTAAATTCAGTTAGATCTAAAGAAAAAGTCAAATGGGATTTTGAGATACAACCTTAAGATACAACACTTGCCCTGCAACATGTTTTAAATCTATAAGGTTTGTGATACTTTTAGAGTTTTATGTGAGTGACTTATCTCAAAGGGAAATTGTGATTATGCCATGATTAAAAGTCGTTCTATCTTTATTCAAAGTTTTATATTCGTTCACTGTCTAATATGATCAAATCCATACATATTGATGAAAATCCTTGATATCAGTAAGATAAAGATAACAGATAGTTGCTATTTACCCAAACTAAGACCATAAAAAAATATTTTTTTTATCTGAATGTTATCTGTCAAAGATCATCATCATAAAAGATTTATCTTGCAATGTATTGGTCATTTTAAATGGTAATTAAATTTAGCTAAGCCGAAGAAAAATCAGTCTGTATAAAGTGATAAAAGTGCACCTACCTGAACATAGTCCATTACACAATAAAAAAAGGAGCATAACGGAGGTCAGCTGCATCTGCATGTTGTTAGTAGCCCCACAATTTCTGTACATTCAAGCTGGGCCCAAGTCCATAAGGTTAAAGGTCATAAAATGGTATGAAAATGGGTGGAAGAATAAGAGAGATAAGTTGTAAGAGAAGAGAAAATCACAGTGCGTCCTGCAGAAGTCACGATGCTCTCTTGGGTTTTTTTTTTCCAACCTGTTTGCTGTGTCTTCTCTTGGCTTTCTCAGAAGTGAAGTGAGGAATGGCGGGCTCCATTCCACCCGGTATATAAGAGCCTCTATGATGTCAGAGGAGCCGCACTATCGTTCCTACCCCTCCCATATCCATCTCCATATCTCTCTCTCTCTCGCCCCCTTGTCCTGTGTCATGATGACATCAGCAAACACCTCAGAAACCACTTTGTTGACGTCAAAACTTCCATAAATGCTAATTTGATGTTCCTCTCTTCATTCTAAAGGAGGAGAGGGGAGTGTAGAATTAATGATTTGTTCTTAGAAGCATGGTGATGAAAGATAAGAGAGGATGATGCCTTCATCTGTCCTCAAGTCCTCAAGAATTACCAATCTTTCATTGTTGTCCGGCATACTTTCATTGTTATGTTGCTCATACTGTGCAATGAGCAATATTTCGTGTTGCTCATACTGTGTTAAGATAAAAATGTAAACTGTTTTGTGGGTCCAAAGTGTGATGTTCAACCTTGAAAAATGCTCTCCGTACATTCTGTAATGAAACAGTCTTTACTTTTGATTGCTTCCAAAAAAATATTCCATGATAGCCGATGAAAGGGTTGTATTATTATTTATATTATGATGCATTATTATTCATCAATATACTGGAGTGGAGAGGGAGTGTTGTAACACTTTTTGATAACATCCGTTAAAGCAATTGAAATGGTCACACATGGCCACCAACCTGCTGTGGTTGCCCTTTACTCTTTACAGACCCTAAAGACTCTTTACAGAATTATTGCAGGACTTTAGAGTCCAATAGAAAGACTATAGAAAACAAATCCTATTTTATTTACACAACTAAATATCCATGTTAGCTATTGGTGTTAAAGACCATTCAGTGGAGAAGGTTGTAAAGTCATGTATGTGATTTTACCTTCTGTAATTAATGTATACAGATTTGAGCTTTAATAACAAATTGTCGCAGAAACATGATATCAGTTTGAAAGATGTTACAGTGCACTCTTAATAAAAAATTTCCAAATGGGGTTTTAAAATTAATTAAGTATAATGTAGAATATCTGTGTTTGCTAAACCATTCCAGAAGTGGGGTAGGTTGTAACAACACTCTTTTTTTATTTAATTCTAACAGTGTGTAATTCATTTTAAACTGATTTGAGCTCAGTGATATCTGAATAATTCAAATTGTATCAGATGTGAATATCAATTTAAGAATTGAGACATGAAGGCATATTCTTTAAAAAAATAAAAAATAAAGGTTCCAAAAGGTTTACAGTGACGAAACCATTTAGTCAAAAACAGTTTCAGTGAACAGTGCTGCTTAAAATAAACATATACAGTTATTTTAGCGTAAAGAACATTTTAATAACCTAAAGAGCATTTTTTTTTTTACCGTAAAGAACCCGAAAGCATTATCACCATCGATCCTAATAAAATAAACTTAATTTTTAAGAGTGTAGCGTAGAAATGCAGACATTGAAACAAAACAATTGTTCACCAATCTTGAATCTAGTGGTACAGGACAGAGATGCTATCACAATCATCAGCTCCACACAGTTTAGCCGCCTCCCTCCGTGTGAAGTGGGCCGGCCCTGTTTGAAACTCCTCTTACTTTGAAGCTGGCAAGTTGTTCAACTTTTTCCACGACCAGCACTTCAGTGGTACTTTCTTGATTAGGTTTATGCGCTCCGTTCTGTTGCGCGATGCCTTGGATCTGACCTGTGACACATTGACGCAGGATGGCTCCTTTTGGAAAAAACTTTCTGAAAGCGCGTTTGAAGAACAGGTAGGCTATGATTCAAACCATCCATTTCCTTTGAGATTGCACCACATAGGCTACATTTGACTATAACATTGAAATATATTTATTAGTTTGAAACAACGTAAACGGTAGAAAGCTTGAGAAGCAATTAGCTAAATTTTTGTCCCTTTTTTCTCAGAAGCGTTCGCAAAGAAACTCGTACCTGTTAGTAGCCTAGTTATAATGGACTGTAAACTCTTCGTCACTGTAACAACACTTGCTCTGACTCAAGTGTTTCGCCGCATGGTCGCAGAGAGTCGAGTTACACTAATGCTGTTGTTCTGCTGGATCTGGTGTATGTCTGGATGCAGGTAGCTGGCGTTAAGTAACGCCAAATGTGTCATTTTTTTCCTCAATACTAAATCCTCCATGACGACGGATGCGTATTAGCGCGTGAGTGTTTGCTGAAACGAACTGGAAAGGTTTGATATTGTAGTGTTGAGTATTGCGGCAAGTATGTTTAACTTAATTATTTTTGTTGTGTCTAATTAGTCTATGTAATTATGACATCAACATCTTTTTGTTTAGAGAAAAGCTTTTAATTTTGGTGTGATTGTTTGAACAAGTGGAGTTTGACACAATAGGGAGTTTGACACAAAAATTAACCCCAGCAAAGGAGGTCAAAGAAAGGGGATGGGATGTTTTTAATGTATATGATCTTTTTCATTTCATGTATATAAGCATTTAAACAATATTTCAATAAACAAAAGTTAGAAGAGTGTGCTAAATGTGTACTCTCACGAACAAGCAGTAACCATAGCAGCCAAAATTACACAATTGCTGCCAGTATCGATCGGTACAGGATGACAAAATGTAGTCTTAGTATATTGTCATCATTTATAATGTCATTAGAGACATACAAATCATAAATATTATGACGAAAATAATTAGTTTTTGCTTAAAGGGATAGTTCACCCAAAAATGTTCTCATCATTTATTCACCCTCAAGTTGTTTCAAAACCTATGAGTTTCTTTCTTCTGATTAAAACAAAAGAAGATATTATGAAGAATGCTGGTAACCAGACATGTTGACGGACCCTTTTGACTTATGCTACATAGTATAGCCTATATGTTTTTCTTATTCTGGAAGTCATTGGCTACCGTCAACTGTCTGGTTACCAACATTCTTTTGTTTTCAACAGAAAGGAACTCATACAGATTTTAAACAACGTGAGGGTGAGTAAATGATGGTGTCATTTTCATTTTTGTGTGAAAGATCTTCAGTAGTAGTTAGCTTATAGTTGAGGGGTGGCTAGACTCTAGTGGCGTCAAAAGATATTTTAGTTTGTGTGAGATGAACTTCAATTGAGCCCATAAATTACTGACATAAATTATTTTATAGGTGTTTGTACACTTTAAAGTTTCTCTCATTGACACCATTTTGCAGTTAATTTTAAGTGCCATAATTTACTTTTGATGTCTCAGTGTTTCCATATAGAATGGTTTATTATTCAATATTTTTAGTGCTTATTAAAGAGGTCTCTCTCTCTCTCTCTCTCTCTCTCTCTCTCTCTCTCAAATGGCTATGCAGCAGGGTTTATGTTATGTTTTGCCAGATTTTTCTCCATTTTTATTAATATATGTTCTGTGCAGGATTTTTTTTTTTCACAGCAATATTTTAGTTGTCCCAGTCTTTTTTAACAGTGTAAGCTTGAAACTCTCTGAACGGGCATTCTACTTTTATGCTTTTATTTAAAATCACCTTTAAAGCATAAGCCAGCTGTAATTATCTCAAATGTTCAGAGGGAAATCTAATCAAAGGAAATCTAACACTGTGTCAGCTTTATTTAATGTGGTCCATACAGAATGACATTCAAACAGTTGATTTATCCATGGTTAATTAATAGACATGCTTCGTTTCATGAAGGTATGCTCTTACAGCGACAGTTTAAATATGGAGGTGGTGATTACACTTAACTAAATTACCTCAGCTGCCATAATTGTGTGGTTATTTTAGTACGTAATGTCACTAGTTAATGCCTAAATAAGAACCTTCTAGAGCAGCATTGCGATTTTTAACCTGTACTTTGCTTTACTAGAGCTATTGAGACAAACTGCTCTACCTGAAATACAATTATGCATATGAGGTAAAGCGAACTTTCTGGAAAAGTGTTTATGTTTATATATATATATATTTAAATATATATATAAACTTGGCTCAGAGGTAAAAGTGAATTTTCACGGTATAATGTTAAGGAAGCATGCTATCACAGTAAAATAGAGGCAAGGATGGCTCCTTAACATTATACAGTGAAAATTTACTTTTACTTCTCTCCAGTTCACATGTGCCCTAAAATCTCTCTGCCCTCTCAGATAACACGTTAACAAATCATTTGACACAGACAGTATGATCTCACAGCTGCTTTTAACTTACATGATCATAAATGTTACAACTGCTGCATGGGGATTTATTATTTTATCAATATCTAAAACTTAGACTAAATGAATTAATATAAAGATAATTAATTGTGTTAATGAGATATATCATTGAATGACCCACATCTTTATTAAATTGAGGTTTAATTTCCCAAGAATAATTTTGTACTGCCTAATAAACCTTGATACATTGACTGTCAAGGAGATTATGTTCCTGAGCAGCCCATTCTCACCCCCAAGGCGTCACTTAACTGACGCCTTGGGAAGCATTTGGACATGCTTCAATATCTGACGCTTTAGGCGCCCTTTAGCGTCAGTTAGATGACGCCCTAGGATCGCGTGTACCCTACCCCCACCCCACACCTAAACCTAACCGCGTCCTCTAACTGACGCTTTCCTTTAGCGTCAGTTAGATGACGCCGTAGGATCGCGTCATGTAAGTGACGCTAAAGGGCGCCTAAAACGTCAAATATTGAAGCATGGTCAAAGGTGACGCCTTGGGGTGAGAATGCGTTGTCCTGAGACACTGTGTTGAGTCAGTAGAAAGATACAACATGTTCTCTGTAGTCCAATGATCCTATCTTGTGGTAACACATGTTTTTTCTTCTTCTTCTATGAGTTGAGAGGCAGAGTGTTCTGTTCTTTTCACCTTCAGTGGTTCTGACAGTGTTTCTGGTGTGAGTACAAAAGCTACATCAAATCTACATTTCAAAACCGGCTTTTATTTTATGCATTGTGATGTGGACTGACTTAACCTGATGTTCACTGATCCATATAGTTATGTTTCTATACAACAGACAGTTTGTAAGTTTGTTGTACTGCTTCTTTGCAATCTCCATGAAATGGACATTTATAGTTTTCCATTATCTCACGATACATGAACTTGTTGGCAGGATGTATGTAACAGGATGCTGGTGGTCACCATTGATTTTCCCACAAGACAAACACAGGTGCTTCCATTCCCCCTCATTTGTTTCCTGTACTCATGTCAATTTTGGAAAAGACTAAATAAAGTAGACCATTTCATGAAAACAATATTGAATTCCCAGTGTAGACTATTCTGACATTTCTTTTTGTTCAGATTCATTTAACAAGCTCTTTAAATGGATCGAAATTGTATAGCAAGCCAAGAGAGCATGCACATTGTTAACCAGCTGAGTGTAAATGCTTGTATTGTATTGTTACATTTTGTCTATTTCAGTGTAATGTTTCTGACATGTGTGAACAAGCCACTGTATACTTTTACTTGCTTGTTATGTTAATGCTTGGGTTGCACACTTCTATTATGATGTAATGGGAATGATGTCATATGGAATTACCTGCACAGGTGCGAATGTGGGATTAACTTTTAGAATAGCATTGTATACAGTAAATTTAAATTAATGTCATACAACATTAAACTAATGGCAATCTTGCATTTAGTTTTGTATAATTTTTCTGTCTGTAAAAGCCTTTAACCCTATTCAATACACAATATATTTAAGCATTACATCAGTTTGTCTCTCTATATACAGTACAACCAGTGTATTAGGTGGTCTGCTATGTAAATAGCTCAACTATTTACTTTTTGTGTGGAGTAGCAACAGAGTTTTCTAAATATTAACTAACCACCTGCATTCTTGCATATGTTACATTCTTCTGAGGTCTTTCATTAAGAAAAAATATACTTTTTGCATTTGTCACCTTTTAAAAATGTAATCTGTCTGTCTCTCTGTCATTTATTAAGCTAATGAACACAGTACCTCTGTATTTAAAATTTGCTTTTAATAGCGTTTAATAATATTCTTATCTGAGAGAGATAATTAGTCATACCTGATGTTATGACCTGAACAGAATTAAAAATCATGAAACAACCATTTCAGATAATTGAGGGTATGATACATTTGTCATGAAGCCTTTTTCTCATCTTAATAATGTCAGCCATTTAGTGTGTGTCATTAACATCTGAGTTATGGATGTGAATCTGTGCCAAGTACAGTTATGACTCTTGAATCATAGATATTTGTGAGCTTTATGTATTTCACCCCATTTGAGTGTAATAATGAAACAAGCCACTCAAGTCTGTCCATGTGATTTACCGCGGGTGTTTTTAGGCATGAATGTCTAAAATCCCATTTTACTGTGATGGAATCAGCATAACACAATTTAACTCACTAATGCTAAATTATAGTATTGCTTTTATGTTTAAGTTAGACAGAGATAGACTGTTCCAGAGCTTAGGTTCGACATCAGAGAAAAACTTGTGTTCAATAAATGCATTATTATTATTATTAAATATAATAATAATGTATAATTGGTCCACCTATTCCATATAATGACTGTTAAAGGAGTAGTTCACTTAAAAAAAAAAACTTTTGTTGATAATTTATTCACCCCCATGCCATCCAAGATATCCATGTCATTCTTTCTTCAGTCGAAAATAAATTAAGTTTTTTGATGAGAACATTCCATCGCTCATTAAAAAAAAGTTTAAGTTTTACAAGGTCAAATGGTCGCCTTGATCTGTTCTGTGATGCGTGTTCATGACTCTTCTGAATTTTTTTTCGTATCATTTGGTTCATTCAACGAACGAAATAAACAAATTGACTTGGAAAAAGATTTGTTCATTTTGATGAACGAGTACGAACAGGAGAGTCACACAGAACAGAGCAAGGCGACCATTTGAGCTTATAAAACTTAAACTTTGTTGTTGTTGTTGTGTTTTTAAATGAGCGATCACTTCACTTGATAAGACCCTTATTCATCGTCTGGAATCGTTTAAAGCCCTTTGAACAGTTTGCACTGAAACTGTCTTTTGGACCTTGAACCATTTGGTTACCAGTAAAGTCCATTATGTGGAGAAAAATCCAGGAATGTTTTCATCAAAAACCTTAATTTCTTTTTGACTGAAGAAAGAAAGAAATGGACATCTTGGATGACATGGGGGTGAGTAAACAATCAGCAAATTTTTTTTTATAAAAGTGAACTACTCCTTTAACCATATTGGTAATATTCAATTATTTGTCTTTTATTATATAAAATGACCATAGTAGCCATAAAAGATGTTAACACTTGCGATTGTGTTTTTTTATAATACACACTTTTTATATCTCTTTACCAGGTCTAAGGTTGTAGAGGAGACACCAGGGAAGGAAATCCAGGTGCGTGTGTGTCACGAAGAAAAAGTAGTCTGTGGTGTGACCAAGCACACAACCTGTGCAGATGTAGTTAAGGCTTTATTGGAGGACCACAAGACCATACCAGAGAGTAAGAGGCTCTTAGATGGGGAACCTAAAGACTTCTGCATCCTGGAACGATGGAAGGGTTTTGAGAGAGCACTGCCACCTCTTACTCGGATCCTTCGGCTATGGAATGCTTGGGGCGATGAGAGACCTTTCATAGAGTTTGTCCTCATGAAGACCAGTGACTTTGTGCCATCATCCAAGGGAGCAAAGAGGGCCTCAAAGTCTCGGGGAGGGAGGTCCAAGAGATGGGACCAAGGACCTGCACAGTACGCCAAGACGGTGTCTACGGACAAGCAGAAGCGCATGGTGAAGAAGGCCTTCCGCAAATTAGAGAAGATCCAGAAAGGAGAGACATCCGAGGGCTCAGAAGAGATCAATAAGCTTGTATGGTTGATCATCTCCCAGGATCAGACCATCCGGCAGCAGATTCACCAGATGCGTGAGCTAGACTTGGAGATTGAACGTGCAGAGGAACAACAGAGTAACAGCCCCACGCATCGCTCCAGCATCACCGAGAGCGATGACGGCCAATCGCTGTCCATGTCCCAATTTGACATCCAGCTTCAGGAGTACCTGTACACCAGTGATGGAATCGAGCAACTAGAACTACATGTCAGCAGGCACCAAGAACTCATTGACCAGCTCTCTCAAGATATTGACTTAGAGCTGAGGAACTGGACTTCAGATTTGGAGGATTTAAAAGGAGCAGCAGCTGCTTGTCCAGAACTAGAGCTGGAACCCAACCTCTCATTGTCCTCCTCAGATCTCGTAGAGCTGGAAAGCTTACGCAAAGAATTAGAGGCAAGCATGAGAGCTGGGCTTTCCCTCCATGTCCAAATGCAGGATATCGAGAAGGAACTGCAGCGGAACAAAACAGACCTGCAGTCCCAGAACCAGGAATACCAGCATTTAGTTGCCCAACTCAGTGTGCTTGAGCTGGAGGCCTGTCTGGACCAGCCTAGCCCTGTTTCTCTGAAGAGCCAGATCAGGGCCACTGTCTCTCAGCAGACAGTAGGCAAGGTAAGACAGACATGCTCCCCTACAGATGCAATAGACACCGACTCCGACACTGGAATAAGCTCTACTCACAGTCAGGACTCACTGTCGCCCTGTGTGGACAGGTCGCCGCCTCTGGACACTGATGTTTGAAGCTGAGGATTAATTGTGTTCTTAATACATACATGTGCTCAATGACTCCAACAACGAAACAGACAGCTTAAAGGGATATTTCACCAAAAAAAATGACAATTCTGTCATCATCAAAAATATATTTTGAAGGATGCTCATTGACATTCACTACAAAAAAACACTGAGACATTTCTCAAAATATCTTCTTTTGTGTTCCACAGTAGTGAGAATATCATATAATTTTGGGAAAATATGAGTAAATGATGTGTGATCCCTTCAACATTTGCTGTGCTGTTATAGTTATATGTAGAGATAGATGTGAATACATTTTTAGTCATCTCATGTTTTTCTCGCTATTAGAATTCATGTGCACTTAAAGCCCGCATTAAAAATATAGAAGAACTTTCTCAAACTGAAAAAAAATCCCCATTCTGTTTATATTTTAAATCCTGCTGATATTTATTTACCCTATATTTTCCACAATATTAATATTTATAGTATATACTGTATATTTATAGTAGGCTACTACATATACATTTTAAAAGAAAAAAACTATAATATTAAATGCATTAAAATATTTTAATGTAAATAGCAATGGCAATATAAATTAAATGTTTATAGCTATAGGAAAGAGATCCTCCGATGAAAGAACATACTCTTGTTTTATATTAAAACAAGCTTTTTGTAGATAAGCTTTACTTTTTAACCTATTTCTTTTTTTAAATGTACAGTTTAAGCAGGTGACTGCACAGATTGCAAAATATAGAGATAAAGTTATCACCTATAATTTATTTGTTTTTCTCTATCACAATAAATCGATCAATATTCAAATTCATTTGAAACTTTGAGTCTTTTAAGCATAGACATTTCCTTCAGTGCTTTTGCAATGTTAAATGTGTTATCAACTAGTCACAATACACTAACTCATGTTCCCATCACAGCTAAAGTGGGTTGAAACAGCACTCATAGAAAGAATCCATTCTGACACTAATACAAACACAAGGAATATTTGAATTCTAATGGGAAACCCGATTTACATATTTTCAGTCAGTGCCAGTAAAAAGACATTTGAGCCCTTTTGCGTCAAATAATTGCCTCATTCTTTCTTTAAAACCCGCAAACAGCAGAGATTTAGCAGTACTATTAGACTGCGGTCTCATTTCTTTATTGAATTAATGCAAGGTCTTTAACGCCAAGTTCCTGAAGGGTAACAACATGTTACGCTGCTGTCATTCAGCGTGACTCATAACAAATGGGATTTTAAAGAAGGCTCCATTTTGTAATGCAAAACAAATGGGTTTTAAACAGTTGCATTATGCAGCAGGCCTTGGTATTCAAGGGGTGTTAATGAAGACTTGCTTCATTGGATCCTTCTGAGTGCCTGCTTCGCACTGAGATAATAACCAAATTCCCCCTCATTGGCTCTGATCCCACACAGCCCCCTATGTAGGGTGTTGCCAATACAAAGTCCTAAGGCACTTTAATGTCTTCACTGCCAGTGTCGTGACTTGTTTACCTCCACTGTCAGTTCAGGAGGAACCAGAGGGCTGCCAGGACTTTGTCGCAGCCTTAATTTCCTGTGCGAAAATGGCAATTACTGACTTTTATCTCTCGCTACTGCTGTGGTAGTTCCAGCGCTAACAATTATACCAGCCAATTCTTGAAAACAGTCCTTTTAGATTGTGTCAGGGCATCTTCCCCATGTTAAACCTTTAATTATGAGGACTGTGACATCCTCACAGGCTTTTTGGCTGAAAATATAAGTGGCATAAGAGAAGAGAGATACTGTAGACCAAGGCCATCATGTTACAAAACACTAGATCAAGGAACCTACTCAACTTTATAAACGCACAATGTGGTTTCTGATTCAACAAGTGATTGGATCATCTTAAGACAAAATAGTCCTGCCGCCTGCATGCTGCAATCTTCAAAAACAACACTTGCATTATCTTGTCAGTTTGCCTTGACATTTCCTGAATGGTTGGGGTTTTTTTCCACTTAAGTCAGTGATATGTATGATAATGTTTCCCTCATAGTTTTAAACTTGTACCAAAGAACAAATAAACTTATTTTAGGAACTCTTTTGGTCTGAGTCACTGCATTTTTTTTTAATTTATTTATTTTGCCATTGTTCAGAAAAACTGTGTGGGTGCTGGTGTATGTTAACAGGGTTATGGAAACCACAGAATTGCCTTCTTGACAGCAAAACGGTGTTCTTTTATTTTTAATCTCTTAATTACATGTTGAAAGCTGTAATATCTTGTATGAAAGGGTACCATTTTAAGTGCATAAGAGCATGTTGTACACAAACCCCTCCGTATGTGAATGACTAGCAAATTTTATTTGTTATCTAAGTTAAAACAACTGAAATGCAGAAAATATCAAATAAAAACAAGCACTTGTCTTTTATTTGGCATTCTGAAGTTAACTTCACACTTGAAAATTCTGTCAGTATTTACTCACCCTCATGTTGTTCCAAACCTGTAAGACCTTCGTTCATCTTTCGGAACACAAATTAAGATATTTTTGATGAAATCTGAGAGCTGGATCACTCCTCCATACTAGTCCATAGGCTTCTTGATGAATTGAAACTAGCCGGCCTCGAAAAGTTAAAATAGTCCAAGTGACTACAGTGGCTCAATCTTAAGTTTATTAAACGACGAGAACACTTTTTGTGCGCAAAAAACAACAAAAATAACGACTTTATTTCAACTATTCATTTACTTCTCTCTCTGCCTCGAGTCAGGTTATTAGTTTAATAGCGTAAGCTTCTGTTATTGTACGTCACACGCATCACACACATGACCAGCGTCGGCCAATAGTGAGCCTACGTGTGATGTAGCTCTACGCTATCACACTACGTTAACTGTTAAGTGAAACGTTGAAATAAAGTCGTTATTTTTGTTTGTTTTTGCGCACGAAACATATTCTCGTCGCTTGATTGAGCCACTGAAGTCACTTGGATTATTTTAACGATGTCTTTAATAACTTTTCGAGGCCGGCAAGTTTCAATTCCTCAAGAAGCCTATGGACTAGTATGGAGGAGTGATCCAGCTCTCAGATTTCATCGAAAATATCTACATTTATGTTCCGAAGATGAACGAAGGACTTACGGGGTTGGAACAACATGAGGGTGAGTAAATACTGACAGAATTTTCATTTTTGGGTGAACTAACCCTTTAACATTATGCAAACATGTTTTATGGAGTTTTTCAGCCTTGTGGCAAGAACGGTGTATGTTCAAAGCATTCAGGCGAAACTGTGTGCACTTGCCGAATCGTGTCGGGGAACAGGTTCATCTTTTTTTTAAATCTCATAAAAATAACTGCAACTGAAAAGAGCTTGCTGTTTCTTTACCTCACATAGACTCGGCATGTCTGAACCTCTCCCGCAGTCAAAGGTAATAAGTGGATAAAGGCAGTTCAAAAGGGTGATGCCATCTGACCAAACAGTTTAAATTAAAACAAAATTAGTTAAATAATCACCCAAGGCAATAATTCATGAGAAACATTTTGCGGTCTTGATTCAATTTTGTTAGGTATATAATTAAGACAAATAAAGTTTAGTGTCAACTCTCAATATTTTAGTTATTAATTTAAAAGACACTCATTTCATGTGTTTATGTATTTAGAATTATTTATAATTTTCCTACTACACAATCATAGATTTTCATACTAGAGAGTCATAGCTGTTTGGACAAAAGGCTTCAATGCAACAAGTCATCTGCCTTTTTTGTCCATGTTTCCAGAAGTGAAAGTCTGTAACTATTAAGTTAATTTTATCAAATTTCCAACACAGTCTCATGGCAATTTGTAACGTTTTGGGAAATCGGTATGATCATGTGATCTGCTTACGCCCCAGTGGCGGTTAAGTTTAGGGGTGGGGTTAGGAGAGGATATTCATGCTTACTTTTATTTGTAATACTTTTTACATTTTTGTTTGATTCATATCGTATTAATTCATATGATATCGCTACCACGTAAAATAGTTAAATTTTTCCATGTGGTTGGGTTGGACTTTCAGGAGCATATTGCTGGCTTTAGACCAAATAGACATGGACTGAAAGCCACAAAACTCCAATTCAAGCTGTTGAAAGGTGAGAAGATTAATATATAAAATGCAGTGATTTTACTTGAACACAAAGCCAAGCCTTCAGGGTTGTCATACATTGGCAATCAATCTTGCTTCCCCCAAACATAGAGGCACAGCAATATTTGTATTGCAGTGCTGTAAATGAATTTGTATGGAGGCTCTGGTTTGAAACAATTGGCAAACACACAAACACATAGACCTCTCTTGGGTGGTCTTTTGTCTCCAGAGATCATTCCCAGAAGGTGATGGTGGGTCTGAAACACCTTTACTCTGCGTCTATATTTTTCTCTGTGTTGCCAGGTTCAGACGTTAATGTAGTCTTATTACGGCTGTTGTTTCTCAGAGCATTTGCTTTGCCACAGGTGTTCGCTAAGACTCATCAGCCAACCTCTTATTACAGCACCACAGAGAGAGAGTGAGAGAGAAAGAGAGAGGCAAGGGGGTTGCATGCATGTTGAGATAGAAAAGAGGAAGGAAATAGATTAGGACATTTACTAGGACATTAGAAACAAGTGCCTCTTGACAGGCAGCTACTGTAGCTTGGCAGAACAAGCGTTCAGAACAATGCTGGTTAACCAGAAGAATTAATGCAGTTTTTGGATTGTTGCCATGAGTTTTTTAATGCCAATCTAGCAAGAAAGATATATTCTTTCTATGTTGGTTTATAAGAAGGATTTGATGTATTTACACTGGTTTGCATGAAGCAGAGACGTCTTCCTGTTCCTTCTCCTTTCCACCAGCCCTCATAACCCTGGTGTGTCTCACTGATTAGCTATAAACATTGCTTATGCCACCTCACCCTCTGTGCTTGAGTCTTCCTCAAAGCCTGATTCTTGTCTACCAATCTCTTCCTCTGAGACCCTCTCTGCGCACATACACTCTGATTGCCTACAGCACAGAGAGTTTATCCATTACAGCTAATCAGCTTAAAGCCATGACCCCATCTTGTTTCTGCTGATTCGTATGGGCGGAGGAGACATTGATGGTGCTCATCTGCAATTGAAAATTATGATGAACTGATATATATATATTTTTTTAAATAAAATCAACGCTTCTTATGAATATTATTTGTTTGAGTGAATGAATATATTAACTTTACTTCAGATTCCAGTTATATTCAAAGCTAAATATTCTCATATTGGTTTGTTTTTAAGTCCCATTGGAATCAAGGCAGGTTATTCCACCTCGATAGCAAATTTCAAATTATCCTCATTGATGAATGCATCTTCAAGATGAGCATTTCTTCATTTGCTTTTAATCTTTTGATTCACCTGAGATCAAAACAC